CTTGAGCCTAGGAAAACTGGAGGGTGGTGGGGTTGTGCTAGGGTTATGAGATGGGATGAACAAGGCTTCATCCCTCAACAGCATCCTACATGAGTCACAGGCTCTGACCCCTGTCTTCTCTCAGCTCTTGACTTGGCTGAAAACTGAGAATCCTGAAGGTGTTTGTTCCAGCTCATCTTTATGCCCTCAACCCTTTGTTGTAAGACCTTGGTCAGCACTATGAACTCACACTGCTCTGGGACAGGTAGTAGTGTTAGGGGACCATAGGAAGGACCTGGTCCACCTAAGTCAGGATGTGTGCACATTAACCTTGGCTTCCTACATGATGCTGCTGTGATCTTTTCTGGGTCATTCTCTTCATGCCGAGTCCTCCCTCATGTCTCCTTGTTCTGTGGCTGTCTGCCTAACTTCCACTAGGCAGGGAGGATGTGCCTGTCATAAGTTCTCCTTTGGTCTTTGGGGATGCTTTAGGAAAACGCCTGGAGATTGTTGGCTCAACAGACCTGGGCCTTATATCTTCTCACCTTGGGAGCCACAACGGGGCTGGTCCCCCATCTCTTAGGCACAGAGTCATCATTTAGAGCAGGGACACATTCATGTTTCTTCCCATCCTGGCTTTTTTCCCATCCTGCTAGCAGTAGACATGTTGTGCTAAGTGCTAGGGTCCTATCGTGGAAGAAAGGCCTGCCATCGCCTCTTGGTTTGATGGATGTTGAATTTCTTTAGGAATCAATGAAGTGGAGTCATCCCACAGTCCTTCATACTGTATCATAGGGAGACTGCAGCATTTCTTACACTTCCTCTAGCTCTTGGCTCCTGTGTGGTAGGTCAGAATGTGGGAATGCAGAGGTTTCACCTTCTGAGAAATGTGAGGTATCCAAAACAGAGGTGCATCCCATCTACTCAGGGCAACCTTTTTTCCTGCCTGCCAGTTCTCTCCTCCTACCCTTTAAACATATCTAGTCTTTGAACACTAAGATGCTATACCTGTCCTCTTTGTCTCTAGCCTCATGCACTAGGCTCCACACATCTAGAACTTCCCTGAAATCTCTCCTGCCATTCTAATCATCTGAGAGCATTGTCATACACATAATCAGCAGAGGAAACACCTTTTTCTGATGACTGGATATGGACTGTTAGCGATGAAACATCAAAATGACACCAATGGTTTCAGACTGAACGGACAAGAGGAAGTGCCATTAACTGATGTGGGAAACACTGCAATTGGAATAGGTCTGGTATGTGTGATTGGGTGGTGTTAAGGGGGCAGGGAATTAGGATTTCACTTTTGAGATGAATATTGGACAACCATGTGTATATGTTTGGGTTTTTAAAAAAGATTTATTTATTTATTTATTTGTTTATTTATTTATTTATGAGAGAGCACAAGTTGAGGGGAGGGACAGAGGAAGAGGGAAAAGCAAAAAGCCTAACTCAGGACTGGATCCCAGGACCTTGGCACCATGACCTGAGCTGAAGGAAGATGCTTAACTGACTAAGCCATCCAGGTAGCCCTGTATAAATTGTATAGACAAATTTTTTTCAAGATTTATTTACTCATGAGAGACACACAGAGAAGGCAGAAACACAGGCAGAGGGAGAAGCAGGCTCCATATAGGGATTCTGACGTGGGACTGGATCCTGGAACTCCAGGATCCTGCCCTGGGCTGAAGGCAGGCGCTAAATCGCTGAGCCATCCAGGGATCCCCTGATTAGATAGTTTGGACACACAAGCCTACTCGGTAATGATCTCTATGGAGGTAAATCCTATCTTTGGTGATTGTTTTGTCTGGCATAGTTCCTGACACATATCAAGTACACAAATATTTTAATTGTCAAATGCAAGATGCCTCTCAAGGTCATTTTTATTGTGACCTTTTTATGTGACCCTCGAGTCCTTTTCATCAGCTGAGTACTTCCTCCTATGGCAGGACCTCACACACCATAGTGCTCATCACATTGATGTAATAATTTATCTGCTTCCTCAGTCCAGGTTTGGATTCAAGTCTATTAAGTATTGTCATGCACCAACCACTATCCCAAGCCCTGGGGATATGAGATTCTATTGTAATTTTTTAGGAGAGAAAGGGTGAGAAACTAAATCATAAGCAGAGTTAGTAAACATAGAGGAAAGGGGCAACATGAGAAATATAAAAATTAGAACCAATGACTGACTTGATGTATGGTTTGAGCAAAAAAGTGGATGTGTAGTGATATTCCCTGGCATTAGAAAGGAGTTTGACGGGGCAGAAGGTGTTTGGAAACTTTGAATTTTTGCATTCTCTTTGGAGCAAGATGGAGCTTCCTTCTATCTATTGGCTATACAGTTGAAGCTCAGAAGAAAGACTAGAGCAACAAAGTGACTTTGGGAATCATCAGTATATTAACAGCAATTGAGGTTTGGGTATGGGTATACAGTTCTCCCCCTTTCCCAGATAAGCTGGGGCTCGGAAATGTTAAGTAACTTGTCAAATGTCAGAGTTAGGATTCTAACTCTGATTTTTTTTTTCACATTCCATTCTTGTGACTTAGGCCTTAAAATCTGCATCCTTTCTAAGGGTCACACATTTGGCTTGAAAATGGTAAAAACACATGCTTGAGGATTTCGTTAATGTTTTCCTTGTGTTGTAGTTTTGCCGCCCTTTATTCATGTTTATGATCTTTCTCTGAAATCATTCTCTGGTCTGAAATTTCAGTCAGAAGTTTCCTTCTGAAGGAGACCCAATTTTTTTATTCATACATAACCTTATATAGAGTGGAATAAGCACAACCTTCAGCTATGCTGTTCTGTTGTAGCCTCCTTAAGGGCCAGGATTCCAGTCCTCCTTCCACGGGCACCATTGCCTGCCCCAACTCAGTTAATGGAGAATTAGGACAGGTCCATTCACACTTCTTTGGGAGGTCAGGGAATATTAATCTGATGGCCACCGTTAAGAGATCCACTTCGAAAAAAAAAAAAGAGCGATCCACTTTGTGGCAATGGCTACAGAGGCTGCTGGTGGTGTTGGAGTTGAGGGTGGGAGTGCAGGTTGACTGAAGAGGAAGTGGGAAAGAGCTCTAGTATTGACTTAGTATGGCAAGTTATTGGAGGGTTCGTAAAACAGGTCTGTAGGAGGAACTTCATTTAGCCTATATGTAAGGGAGTATATAGACAAGATATGGTGAGATCAGCTTGCCTCTCAGTCTTCCTCTTGGGTAGTTCTTGGTAGTTCTGGCATAGTTCATAGAATTTCACATTATCTTTCCCTTAATGATAAACACATATTACTATGAAATAGCCAATTATTGGATAGTCCAGAAAAACCAAAGGGGCCACAGTCCCTATTCAGTGCTGAGCAGCTAATCTGGTTTAGAGTCTCATGTGTGGCTAAATTCTGGATCCCTGGCCACCTTCTGTGACTGTTTAATGGAACAGAACACTTTAGAAAAGTTTTCCTAACTGCTTTTGTTTGTCTGCTTTAACAGTAAAAGTGCTTCTAAAAAAAAACAAAAACAAAAACAAAAAAACCAGTAAGTGGTTCTGATGCTTTCTGAAATGCACGGGGACATACTGCAGAAAGGGGGAATGATGACAGGCACCGTGGACAGGAGGAGGCAGACTAATCGGTGCTATCTTTGGCTGGGGAAAGGACAAGAGTCATCCTCTGAGGAGAAGACACTGGGCAGATCCTGGGAGAGGATACAGCTGAATTCAACAGCGTACAATGTGCATGAACACATAAAAATAAACATATACAGTCACATAATCATGTGTACGTATGTTCAGGAAGGGAAGACTGGTAAAAGGAGAAAGTGGAGAAGGATTGCAGTTATAGGTGGTATAGAAATGAGACATAGCAGTAAGGCTGTGTACAAGCTGCTGGCAGTGCTTGACAAGATGGGATGTCTTTAGAAAAGACAAGATTGAATGTCTTTAGAAAACCACTTGTGTTTGTGGTTCTTTCCCAGCAGTTTCAAAACTTAGACAGCTGCTCTTAAGTACACTAAGGACAAACAGATTGAAACTCAGATTTACTCACCTACTTTCCCCCAAAGCACTTGAACCTTGGGTTGACTTCCTGGCTCCAGACTCTTTTGAATGCAAAGTAAATTGGTTTTGTTCCCTTATCTTACCCTGGTCAGGAACATGTCAGTCTCTGTCCCAGGTACTCAGACGTCCATCTACATGCTCCCACTCCCTGATTCTCTCCCTGCCAGCCCCTGGGAGTGGGGGACAAGCCCCTCTTCATGGCCTACTGTGATCTCCATTCCAAAGTCACTCATTCCATGCAGCTGGCAGGCAGTGGAGGCGAGCTATGGGCAAGAGAGTTACATCAGCCTCGCAGATGAGTTCTCCAGAAAGATCTTGCCAGCAGAGGAGGGGAGATTCTATCATTTGCTTTTAATATCCTGTCATATTAGCTACCTGCTTTTGATAAACACAAAGTACCTCCTCAAAGTTGGAGCACTGTGGCACTCCTCTAAAACCCTCCCCTGCAGACTGTGGGCCTTTACAGGAGTCATCAGTGATTTCTGCCTGTGGGATTCCTGGCCATTCCTTCTTGTCACTACTATCCTCCTCAGGTCCACATTGCTCCAATGGGCCCAAGGACACCAGTGGAAAGCCATGATAGAATTCAAGCCTGACCTTTACGTAGCTTACCTTCCTTTTCTGCTCAAGCCCCGTTATCCACAGTCCAGGGTAGGCTGGGAGGAGTTGTGTGGAAGGCTGACCCAGCTTAAGTGTGGGTTAAAGCTCCTTCTCTAGTTGGGAAGGACATTTTAGCTTCCCTTCATGCCTTCCCTAACACACCACAGTGGAGAGAAGGAGGAGAGAGACAGTTCTTTGCTTAGAGACATTCATGTATTTTGGGTGGCACTCTGCCCCACCTGTACATTAATGAAAATGACAGTAGCAGCCCTCTTCAAGGGACACAGATGTTGGGGAGCCTACAAAACTTTTAATTGTATGGAGTCTTCTTGAGCAGACCAAGGTTTCCCTCTAAGGTGAGAGGTGAGATCTAGGGTGCATTCCCTGATTGGGTGACACAAGCCATTCGAGGACAGTGCCTAGGGCAGTGGCGAGGGTGGTCCAGGACTGAGGTAGAATGGACTTGGTGAGAATGGGAGCGGTGCCGGAGCTTACTGTCTGGGGAATGGGGTCCATCCAAGAAGCCCAGGCACACCTGCTTCTCGGTGGGGAAGATTGGGCCTTGGAGTCCCCTCTTGTCTTCTGAGTGTTGTTTTGCCCCACCGGACTTTTGGCAGGAGCCAGGATCTTTTGTACATTTTCTTTTCTGGGGTTGGCCACCTTCCCAGCTCTAGAGAACATGGATTCCTTATGCCCTTTGCCTTTCATCTTGGAGTTAAAACAGTACAGGAAGGATTTCATCCTACTTCTCAAGCCTGCTTCTGGAAGGCTGGGCCTCTTGTGAGTATGGACTGGCATCTCCTGTCCCTGCAAAACCTGACCTTTCAAAGTTTGGCCCTGCAAAGGCCTAGCCTGAATGAGTTGGCCCAGGAAAGGCTGGCCCTGTGGTGCCTGGGGCACCATAGGCTGGGCATTCTTAGGAATCCTTGCTGGCTTGAGGATGACACTGAGCTTGGTTTGACTGTCGTGCAGGTCATTCTTCTCAGATACTTTCACCCCAGGGATTCCTGGAGATGGCTCTGGAAGCTTAATCTGAGGGTGATGCTGGGTATTGTCTTCAAAGGGAGCAGCAAGTTGAAAGCTATTGCTGTGTTGCTGGGGGCTGCGGGGTGCCCTATTCAGAAGTATCCCTTTTGGCCTCTGGGCTTTATCGGGGTCGCTTATTTCTCTTGTAAAGGAGCATGCAAACCCTGCATCCCCTTCCCCATGGTCTCCTGCCAATTTGGGTTTCCCTGGGTCCTCTCTCTTTTCTGCCAGCATGGGGACCTGGGCTGAGTCCTTGCTCTTGCCAGGGCTTTGGGGCTCAGGGCTCCAGGGCTCCTCCAGGCTGGGGCTGTTCGCAGTGGCTTCCAGGTGAACACAGAGCACCTGGGCCTCCTTCATGTCTCCGCTGGGCGGTGAGATCTTGGAGGCCCAGTGGGCAGAGCCATGAGGTACTGCTCTTGAACTAGGCTGCTTCTGGTTCTGCTGCACTGCCTTTAACTCAATGGCCAGCTGTTCTTTCAGGTGGAGCCATTCTGGATCTGGGGCACGAGGAGCATCTGGTGGGATGGGGAGATCCTGGAGCAGTGTTTTTCCTTGATTGTTTAGACTCCTGAGAGACTCCTGTGTGGATGTGTTGTCTGGGGTTGCCCCAGTTTGTTCTCTGGACTCCCTTGCCTTTATGGGAATTCCCAGTTGTATCTCTAGGATCTTCTTTCTTAGATGGAAATTTAGTTTGGCTAAGATGGGTTTTTTGAGTGTGTAGAGCTCAGAGGCCTCTGCCTGGCTTTCTAGAGGCATCGCCTCGATCATTTGTTCCACCTGTTCTTCCACCTGGAGCTCCTCTGCAGCGTCTGCACAAGTCTTGTTGGCATCTTGAAAGCATGGCCCAGGACTCAGGCACTGCTCTTCAGATGAGATCATCTGAGTCAGAGGTTCGGTAGGGAATTCGCCAGGTCCAGGCACCGTTCCTGTGATTACAGCTTGGGTAGAGATTGCCGGTGCCATGGCCCTAGAGAGAGCCACATAATAAAGAGCAGGCAGCCCTGACAAGAAGGCAAGGTACTTGTGCCTCAGAGTCGTCTCCAGTTTCTCAATGGCTCCCTCGGACAGGGCTTGGGGCAGCTTAGTGTGTTCAGTGACAGCATCTGGTGGGGCTTTTTGCTGTTGATCAAGGGCCGTTGGTATCCAGGCCCCAGCTTTCTGTTGTAGGGCAGGGTCAGTTGCAGCCTGTAGGTCCAAGGGCTTGCTTTCTGGGATGCAGGTGAAGGGAGCCACTTGCAGGCCCCCAGGAATTATGCACTGCCAAGAGCTACATACACAAGCAGGGACCTTGCCCTGGTGAATCTGCCCACATTTGGAGTTGATGTGGCTCTGCAATATTGCCTTAGCCTGGTCAAACAAGTGTGGCATGGGGACTGGTACTTGGTCTGTGATTGGAGAGAATGGGTCACCGGCCCCAGTGGCCTCTAGGGCCGTAGGTTGGGGAGCATGCACATTGGCTAAGGCTGTGCTGCTCCAGGACAGAGTTGACTGATCAGTGGAGGACAGGAGTAGTTGGATGGACTCCTGGATCTTCTGGGGCAGGCCCCAGCGATGGTGAATCAACTGCCGCTGGAGATGGAATTCCAGCAGTCTCCGGCCATGCTCCGGGAAAAAAACTAGTTCCCTAGTGAGGACTGTGTTGGGCTTCACTGGCCAAGAAGTTTTCTCAGGAGACTGGGCCCTGCCATAGGGCCTATACTGCATGGGGTTCTGGGTATTCTGAGGTCTCTGAAAAACAGCTGACAAGCCCCATCGAAGCTGGAGCTGCCTCTGCAGCAGGTGCCATTCCAAGGCATTACACTCAGCCAGCGTCAGAAGTGGGACACTGTTTTGAGGTTGTTGCTTGTCAGATGGAATGACCCAGTTTTGGGAAGATGGGGAAGAAGATGCATCTGACTGGGGTGGAGTTTTAGGCAGTAGAGGGAGGTTGGAGAGGTCCTTGAGAAAAGGGTCCTTCAAGGGATGCTTGGACACGCTCCCATTCATGGAGAAGTTTTGAGAGCCTAAGAAGGTGTTAACCAGGGACTCACTGTGCAGAGATGGGAGTCCACAGAATAACTGGATGTATTTCTGCTGCAGATGGCCCACTGAATCATGATTCTGGTACCCAGGAAGTGCATAGAGGCCACTTGAGTCTTTAAGGGCTGGAGAGGGCAAGGCCAGAGCCATATGGTTTGGGATTTGCTGCTGGTGGTGTCTTTGTTCTGGGCCCATGATGGACCACTCAGAAACCCAGAAGGCCTGGGTAGGCTGGTTAGCCATACATGAAGCCCAGTTCTCGCAGGAATAGGGCCCAAGTGTTTCGATAGAGAACTTAGAAGTATTCTTCTGGATGAAAGAAACTGGTTGGTTATTGATAGCTTGGCAAAACAAAGGTGGGTTTGGCATAAGCTGCCGCAGGGACTCCTCCACACGTCTGGGTAGCCCCCACCTCTGGAAATGCATCCATTTTTTCACATGTACTTCAAGAAGCCTTAAGACTTCAGGACTGAGGAATGGCAGGTGGGCAGGGAGGACAGTAACCATATGCCAGGCCATAGGGTGGGTCAGTGTAGTGATTTCTCGGTTTAGGGTCTGCAGAGAGACCTGGGAATTCAAGGGCCAATGCCCTTGGTTTCCACAGACAAGGCCGGGAGTGCTCTGTATCATCTGCTGCTGGTTTACTGGAACCTGAGGCTCTTCAAGTCTTAAACAAGACATAGTCTCTGGGACACAAGTCACCTCCGGAATTTGAAATCCCTGCCCCAGCTGGAGGTGTTCAGCCCAGCAATCATGGATCCTGACTGCATCAGTTGACTGGACAGCTGATTGTGTTAAGCATTTCTGATCCATTAATTCTAACATTGGAGGCGTTGCATTTCGAAATGAAAGTGCTTTGCAGTGTAGGGAACGTTGCTGCAGACTCTGTTCAAAAGACACAGTAGACATGGACAAAATCTCTAAGCAAGAGGAGCCCTGCAATGGTCCTGATGAAGGGGAAGAGATCAGGGTGTTCTCACCTACCAGCAACTGCTGAATCTCCAGAGCCATGGCATTGCAGATTTGGCAGCAGGTATCTGCACACAGGAGCCGCCGCACACTTCCTTCCTGAGGAAGCCAGTCCTGGCTAGGAAGGGAAGATGGCAACGGTTACTGATGGAGTGACACCTGCTTCTCTGTTTTTTTCTTTGGTTTTGCTTTTTTAAGTCGTCTCCATGCCTAGCGTAGAGCCCAATGTGGAGCTTAAACTCACAACCCTGAGATCAAGACCTGAGCTCAGATCAAGAGTCAGACACTTAACTCACGGAGCCACCCAAGCACCCCAACACCTGCCTCTTTGAATATGTGTGGCCTGGAGATTTGGCCCACCTTCCCCTAGTTCTGGAACCCCAGGGCATTTACCCATCTCCTTTTCCTCCTAGGAAAATGCCATTGGCAAGTTATGTTGGGCTGGGTTGGACTGAGGGTCTGGAGCTTGTTGGGCAAGGTCTCAGACAACGCATGGAAACACAGGGCCATGAGAGACACTGGGACGTGGGGTGCATTCTCTGTTGGTCTGTGTTGTGAAGCTACACCAGGAGAAGGGAACCAGGCAGTGGTGGGGAGCCAATGGTTGGCTGAGGGGCAGCACCAGGAATATTACAGGGGGAACCCGCAGTCAGTCTCTTCTGGAGCTAAGAAGGCCACAGCCTGGCATTCAGTATTTCTAAGCTGTGGAAAATATGGTCTTTGTGGGAACTCTGCATTGTGGGGACTATGGGGTGTCCCAGATCCTGTACATAGTCTGTTGAGAGCCAGTTCCCTTCCTTAGAGATTTTAGGAAGAGGATAAAATGACAGACTCCTTTCTGAGGGCTGTCCCAGGAATTGGCCTCCCTGAAGACAAAACCATGGAATTAATGTCAGCAGGTTCTACGGGTCTGCCCTTGAATGGTTGCAACAGGAATATGACAATGGTGATTTGTTTATGTATGCATTTATCTATTCTCTTGACTGGATAACCTATCTTGTGGCTGAGTGCAAACTTATGTAGAGTCTTCAATGAATTACATACTAGCAAAATCCTGACTTTCAGGACCACTGTGAACCTAGCCTAGAGCAAAACTGGGAGACTCCCTGTCCTGAGACACCTGATCCTCCTCTGCCCTGGCAACTCTCTCAACCAGTGCTCAGCATCCACTGTCTGACTCCCTCCGGGACGTTTTCCCTCTCCTGGTCCCTGCCACAGGCCAACCAGAGAAATCGTCCTAGGCCAGGCTGGGGATTTGGAGGATGCAAAGAGCAAGTGATCACCTTCTCATGACAGAGAGCAGCTCCCATGGCTTATCAGCTTCTTCCTGACAAAATCTCCTAGCTGAAAAACCAGCAGAGTGTTAACAAAGAATGAGAGGATGCAGGGACATCCTATAGGAAGCTAAAGGCCTTTGAGGAAGAGGAGGCTGAAAACCCCAACAGTCAATGCTCTAAAGCACATATGCATACAGCTTAACCCACTACAACATGCTGTCCTAGACCTCATTTCATTTGATCATCACAGCCACACTGCGAGTGAGGCAGGATCATGAGATGCCCATTTCATGGATCACAGACTGAAAGATGAAGTCATTTCCACAGGGTGGTAAAACTAGTAAATGACACAGCTAAGGGCTTCTGTCCTCCTTCTGTATTCTTCATTCTCAAAGGCAGGTGTAATGTAGAGATTTTTGGAACATTCCCAGGCTCTGATTTCCCACCCAAGAAAGTGTTCTGGGAGAAATTGTCAGCTGAGGCAATTGGAGCCTTCAGTGGTTAGAGCGCCTGGTTACTGGCTCCAGGGCTCGTAGTGGGATAGGAATCAGGGGAAACTTGCCCATAGTGAGGCGAGTCAGAAGAGAGTGAGACCGTACCTCTTGATGCTGCATCTCTTATCCTGACTTTTCGGTGACGCTTAAAGACAAAATGTTAGAGTATAATGTTGGGACACCTTTTTTTAATGTTTAAAACCAGACAAAGCTGATATATTTCCCAATCCCTTTCTATATATCTGTGTCTATATTTTACTTACTTTCCTAACTTTGCTTTCCATATCCATCTCTTTTCACCTCAACATTTCCCTTCTCTGCTTGTGTTTGATTTATTTCAAGGCTCTTCCATATTCTCATTTATTTCCCAAGAGAAGTTATGCATGAGGTTTATGATGAAGCAAGAGAAAGAGTGCAACAGATTAAAGGGTGTGTGGGTGTAATAGCTAAAGGATTTCTATTAACAAATGCCTATAGCAACCACCAACCAGAAGAATCCTGCTAATTGGGAGGTACTCTGAGATCCAGGATGTAGATTCCATTTCATCTAGGTCTCAACTCCAACCAGATCGAAAGGTTCTTTATTTTCCAACTAGAATACACTGTAAGATGGCCTAGAAAGAAATTCTTAGGAGTCTCTGAGATGTACCATATAAGAGTTACTGATTGCATGGCATAAAATTTAGGGGGCGTGGGTGGTAAAAGGAGAGACTCTGAGATCTTAAAAGCTTCTTATCTGAGGCTTAATTAATTAATTCATGGTCATAAAGTTTCCCTACCTGGCAGCACATCCTTTGAGGTTCCAACCTTAATCCATGGTAACTCTTTGTTACTCGCCAGATAATTAGAAGAATAATAAAGATGAAGCCATAGGTATATAAGGGATACTTGAAATCCCACAGAACAAAAGTATGGCTCAACATGGTGTAAACCTCATTAACATGAAGATACTAACCATCCCTCTATCTAGGCATTCAGGGTCCTGATGCCTAATGATTCTCAATGTTATGCCTTATCATCTCCACCTCATAGATGATGGAACCAGGCCATTAGACTGCATCACAAAGCCCTTCTGTTTCACAAGGCAGGTGTTGTGTCAGACTTTTATCTGTCCTAGGGAAGCTTATGTGGTGATTAAGTCTATAGGTGAAGGTGCCTGGTTGTCTGTAAGGGTTACAGAGCCTGAGACTAAAAGTGTCTACTTATAGGCGGTGTCTATGCCTCCACTTTGTCTTTACTGTACATATCCTACACCAGCCTGATGTCTTGGCTCTCTCCTTTACAACTATCTGGTCACCTGTCCGCAGAAAACTGAATGTTTAGGGACATAGGACACCTTTTGTGGAAGAGTGGTTGGGACAGAGGACTCTCTACTAACTCCTCCACCTGTACAGGAGCTATATCTGTGAAGCACACATGAGCTTAGGGAGGCCAGAGTCTGGTTATGGCTTGAGAATGGAGAGCTATGATATTACAGGCATTGGGTGATGGAGAATCAGAAGTATATGAAGGGGTCCATGGCTTATATAGGAGGAAAAGAGCAAGGTGACATTTAAATGCCATTGTGGGAAGCAGGGAGAAATGCCTCTTGGTCTGTGTGGCCTCAAGCTTACGGATAGGTGGGAGGAGATGTAGACACTGCCTTCTTTTATTGAGCTCCTTAAAAGTTGGTTTTCTAGAGATTTTTTTTTTTACCATGTTATAGAATTCTGTCTGTTTGTGTATAGGACACCTTCATAGAGGCAGGCATTAGTGGCCACTTCCAACTTAAGGTCATAAGCTAGTTGGTGATCATGGTTTGAGTAGAGTATCAACTGATCTACTCTGGATACATGCTGTTTGCCTGAAGGAGGGTTTTTGTTTTTGTTTGTTTGTTTGTTTTTAACTTGTATTTCTTTTAAGATTTTATTTATTTATTCATGAGAGACACACAGAGAGAGGCAGAGACACAGACAGAGGGATGGAGAGCCTGATGTGGGACTCAGTCCCAGGACTCTGGGATCACACCCTGAGCCGAAGGCAGGCGCTCAACCACTGAGCACCCAGGCATTCCTAACTTGGATTTTTGAAACCTTTCAGCAAGCCATCTGTTTTCTAATTCATTCCTGGGCCCAACACTTCTATTCTCTGCCCATTTATTTATGCATTTGTTACCTGATTGACCTCTGTGGTTATTGTCATATTTCTCCAACACTGAACTTCTGAATTTCCCTGAGAGTCTTACCCTGCTGACAGCAATCTCACAGCCAAAAATATCTTTGTGCTCAAAGTCTCTGAGGAGGCTATTTTGGTAACTTCTCCAGCATCCAGTCCTCCACCCGGCTGGCATGGTGAGCCCTCAGTCTGTGCTTATCCTAAGCTTGGAAGTGTCAAGGGTACAAAGACATTTGAGTTATGTTGCCTTCCTGCTCTTGAGGCACTTAACTATCTGGTTACCAAGATAAGACTAATTCACACAAAGCAGGGGCCAATAATCTAGAATAAATAGAATTTCATATCATTTGCAATGTCCAGGTTATAAATCTCACATTTCGGAGGAGAGAAACCATAGTAAGGATCAGGATGGTCAGAGAGGGCTCCCGGGTAGAGTGACATAGAGGTTGGGTCTAAAAGTGTAGGCTGTGGGGGAAGGAGCATGTTCCAGATGGGAGAGAAACTTAAGAACGAAACTAGAACACAGAGCAATGGGCCACAGAGTGCATTTGGCAGTGAGAAATGTAGTCTATCTCTAGCAGAGGTGGAGATAAGTGGATTAGAGGGGACTTGTGGCAGAAGATTGGGATGAGGTCTCTTGATGAAGGGCCAGTGCATTTAACTGATTTTAATATTTGAAACTGTGTTTTATAAAGTAGGCATACATAGACACTGTACAACATTCAATGGGCAGAATAAGGTATGTAGGAAATATGTATGCTCACCCTTGTCTCTCATTTCCCAGCTTTCCTCTCTCGAGTCATTTATTCCTATCAGATTTCTGTGTATCTTTCCAAATGAGTCTAGCATAGCCAAAAAGAAATGAATTATGCTTTTCTTCACAAATGGAATATGACAGTTTCCCTTTTATTTCATTTAATAATACACATATATCTTGTATGTACCATTAAGTTAACGGCTGTAATGTCTTCCTTGATATAACACAATTCCTCTTTAATTCTTTATTAACAGATATTTAGTTGTTTATAGTCTTTTGCTGTGAATAAAATGCTGACACAACCTTATATTATAAGTCTATGGTACACATGTATGAGTATATAGGTAGGAAAAATTTCTGTGAATGAATTGACATTTTAACAATATTAAGCTTTTTGATCCATGGATATGGAATATCCCTCCCTTTATTTAGGGTATCTTTAATTTGTCTCAGTAATTTTTTTTGTACAAGTCTTACACATATTTTGTGAATTTACCCCTATTTAACATTTTATGATACTATTTTTTAAAAAAGATTTTTTTTCATTCATGAGAGACAGAGGGGGGGGGAGGGCAGAGATATAGGCAGAGAGAGAGAAGTGGGCTCCCTGCAGGAGTCTGACGTGGGACCTGACCCTAGGACTCCAGGATCACGCCCTGGGCTGAAGGCAGGCACTCAACCGCTCAGCCACCCAGGTGTCCCTTACGATGCTATTATAAGTGATATTGCTTTTTAATTTTAACTTCTAGTTTCTATTGTTAATATGTAGAAATAGAATTTGTTGTATCATATCCTGCAATCTTGTTAAATTCACAATTAGTTGTAATAGCTTTTTTGAAGTAAATTCTTTAGTATTTCCAAAATGAGGATAATGTCTGACAATTTTCACCTCCTTTTCCAATTTGAAACCCTTTTGTTTCTCTTTTTTTACCCTATTGCACTGATTAAAACATTCAGCATCATGTTGAATAGAAGTGGTGAAAGCAGACATCTTTGCCTTGTTACTGATCTTAGGGGGAAACCATTCTTTTTTCTTTCTGCTCCTCAGACTTGTAAATTTCAAAAGTCCTGTTTTTACATCTGCTGATTCTTTCTTCTGTCTATACAAATCTGCCATTGAATTCCTCTAGTGAACCTTTCCTTTTACTTATTATATTTTTTTCAGATTCAGGATTGTTAGTTTTTTTGGTGTTTTTTTTTTTTTTTTTAATACTTTCTATCATTTAGGGCACCTGGGTGGCTCAGTCAGTTAACCACTGAACTCTTTATCTTAGCTCAGGTCTCTATCTCATGATTGTGAGTTCAAGCCCTGCATTGGGTATCACGCTGGGTGTGGAGCCTACTTCTTTAAAAGATTGGATGTCTTTGTTGATATTTTGTTCTTTTTTATTAAGTTTTATTTATTTAAGTAATCTCTACACGCAACATGGGGCTTGAACTCACAACCCTGAGATCAAGGGTTGCACGTTCTGACTGAGCCAGCCAACTGCCCCACATTTTGTTCCTTTATGATTGCCTTTAGTTCTTCATCTATGTTTTCCTTTAGCTTATATAATTTTTATTTATTTACTTTATTTTCTAAAATAAATTTATTTTTTATTGGTGTTCAATTTGTCAACATACAGAATAACACCAAGTGCTCATCCCATCAAGTGCCCACCTCAGTGCCTGCCACCCAGTCACCCTCACCCCCCGCCCACCTCCTCTTCCACCACCCCTAGTTCATTTCCCAGAGTTAGGAGTCTTTGATGTTCTGTCTCCCTTTTTGATATTTCCCACTTATTTTTTCTCCTTTCCCCTTCATTCCCTTTCACTATTTTTTATATTCCCCAACTGAATGAGATCATATAATTTTTGTCCTTCTCCGATTGACTTATTTCACTCAGCATAATACGCTCCAGTTCCATCCACGTCGAAGCAAATGGTGGGTATTTGTCGTTTCTAATGGCTGAGTAATGTTCCATTGTATACATAAACCACATCTTCTTTATCCATTCGTCTTTCGATGGACACCGAGGCTCCTTCCACAGTTGGTCTATTGTGGACATTGCTGCTATAAACATCAGGGTGCAGGTGTCCCAGCGTTTCATTGCATCTGTATCTTTGGGGTAAATCCCCAGTAGTGCAATTGCTGGGTCGTAGGGCAGATCTATTTTTCACTCTTTGAGGAACCTCCACACAGTTTTCCAGAGTGGCTGCACCAGTTCACATTCCCACCAACAGTGCAAGAGGGTTCCCCTTTCTCCACATCCTCTCCAACACTTGTGGTTTCGTGCCTTGTTAATTTTCCCCATTCTCACTGGTGTGAGGTGGTATCTCATTGTGGTTTTGATTTGTATTTCCCTGATGGCAAGTGATGCAGAGCATTTTCTCATGTGCTTGTTGGCCATGTCTATGTCTTCCTCTGTGAGATTTCTGTTCATGTCTTTTGCCCATTTCATGATTGGATTGTTTGTTTCTTTGCTGCTGAGTTTAATAAGTTCTTTATAAATCTGGGAAACTAGCCCTTTATCTGATATGTCATTTGCAAATATCTTCTCCCATTCTGTAGGTTGTCTTTTAGTTTTGTTGACTGTATCCTTTGCTGTGCAAAAGCTTCTTAAAATTGGCAAAGAAGAAGTCAAACTCTCCCTCTTCGCTGATGACATGATACTCTATATAGAAAACCCAAAAGACTCCACCCCAAGATTGCTAGAACTCATACAGCCATTTGGCAGTGTGGCAGGATACAAAATCAATGCCCAGAAGTCAGTGTCATTTCTATACACTAACAATGAGACTGATGAAAGAGAAATTAAGGAGTCAATCCCATGTGCAGTTGCACCCAAAAGCATAAGATACCTAGGAATAAACCTAACCAAAGAGGTAAAGGATCTATACCCTAAAAACTATAGAACACTTCTGAAAGAAATTGAGGAAGACACAAAGAGATGGAAAAATATTCCATGCTCATGGATTGGCAGAATTAATATTGTGAAAATGTCAATGTTACCCAGGGCAATTTACACGTTCAATGCAATCCCTATCAAAATACCATGGACTTTCTTCAGAGACTTAGAACAAATTATTTTAAGATTTGTGTGGAATCAGAAAAGACCCCGAATAGCCAGGGGAATTTTAAAAAAGAAAACCATAGCTGGGGGCATCACAATGCCAGATTTCAGGTTGTACTACAAAGCTGTGTTCATCAAGACAGTGTGGTACTGGCACAAAAACAGACACATAGACCAATGGAACAGAATAGAGAACCCAGAAATGGACCCTGAACTTTATGGTCAACTAATATTCGACAGAGGAGGAAAGACGATCCACTGGAAGAAAGACAGTCTCTTCAATAAATGGTGCTGGGAAAATTGGTCATCCACATGCAGAAGAATGAAACTAGACCACTCTCTTGCACCATACACAAAGATAAACTCAAAATGGATGAAAGATTTAAATGTGAGACAAGACTCCATCAAAATCCTAGAGGAGAACACAGGCAACACCCTTTTTGAACTTGGCCACAGTAACTTCTTGCAAGATACATCCACGAAAACAAAAGAAACAAAAGCAAAAATGAACTATTGGGACTTCATCAAGATAAGAAGCTTTTGCACAGCAAAGGATACAGTCAACAAAACTCAAAGACAACCTACAGAATGGGAGAAGATATTTGCAAATAACATATCAGATAAAGGGCTAGTTTCCAAAATCTATAAAGAACTTATTAAACTCAACACCAAAGAAACAAACAATCCAATCATGAAATGGGCAAAAGACATAAAGAGAAATCTCACAGAGGAAGACATAGACATGGCCAACATGCACATGAGAAAATGCTCTGCATCACTTGCCATCAGGGAAATACAAATCAAAACCACAATGAGATACCACCTCACACCAGTGAGAATGGGGAAAATTAATAAGGCAGGAAACAACAAATGTTGGAGAGGATGCGGAGAAAAGGGAACCCTCTTACACTGTTGGTGGGAATGTGAACTGGTGCAGCCACTCTGGAAAACTGTGTGGAGGTTCCTCAAAGAATTAAAAATAGACCTGCCCTACGACCCAGCAATTGCACTGTTAGGGATTTACCCCAAAGATTCAGATGCAATGAAACGCCGGGACACCTGCACCCCGATGTTTCTAGCAGCCATGTCCACAATAGCCAAACTGTGGAAGGAGCCTCGGTGCCCATCGAAAGATGAATGGATAAAGAAGATGTGGTTTATGTATACAATGGAATATTACTCAGCCATTAGAAACGACAAATACCCACCATTTTCTTCAACGTGGATGGAACTGGAGGGTATTATGCTGAGTGAAGTAAGTCAATCGGAGAAGGACAAACAGTGTATGTTCTCATTCATTTGGGGAATATGAATAATAGGGAAGGGGAATATAAGGGAAGGGAGAAGAAATGTGTGGGAGATATCAGAAAGGGACACAGAACATAAAGACTTCTAACTCTGGGAAATGAACTAGGGGTGGTGGAAGGGGAGGAGGGCGGGGGTGGGGGTGAATGGGTGACGGGCACGGAGGGGGACACTTGACGGGATGAGCACTGGGTGTTATTCTGTATGTTGCTAAATTGAACACCAATAAAAATTAATTTATAAAAAAAAAAGATACATCCACGAAGGCAAAAGAAACAAAAGCAAAAATGAACTATTGGGACTTCCTTTAGGATATATAAGATGGTTGTTTTTAAAATCTTTGTCTAGTAAGTCTAATGCTCGTGTTCATCTAGGGACAGTTTTGACCAGTTTATTTTTCCCCTTTACGTGAACTATACTCTCTTTTTCTTTTTAATCCTTGTAATTTTTTTTCCACAGGCAGGTGAAACAATTTTATTTCACAGTTTTCTTTAAAACCACAAAGACACTATGTTCTTCATGTAAAAACATTAGTACAGATAACTATACTTTCTAGAAAATGATTATATAGACCCTTTCAAAGAAAAATGCACACCATTATATGGTTCAGACAAGTTACTTGGGAAAAACACATCTGGACCGATTCCTAAAACATACCAGAAGACCACGCTGCATCTTTTGGTTCAAAGTATAGATTACTGTCATCAGTAAGGGCTCCTGCATTCTTACATATTTGATAATACACATATAGACTGGTTTGTGACTTATTGCTCCATTGGTTAATCAGCCTTTTCTGCAGGTTCATCAGCAGGTTGAGTAGGCTGTGCCTTTCTCTGTGGTCTTTCTTCAAGACCTTCCAGGAATGGAGATACATCATCATCATCATAAATCGTAAACTCCAAGTCTTTACCAACAATTCCAATGGAAACATTCTTTGTAGTTAGGTCCTGTTCTGCAGGAAGTGTCTCTCGTAAGGCAGGCAGACCATGTTTAACCAGTTCATTCAAACTGCACTCCATAAACCCAGACATATGTCTCTCCAAGTAAGTACGAGCTGATTGAGAACGGGCTCCAATGGACATGGCTCTACAGTCAAAATAGTTGGCAGATGGACCGGTTTGGAAAATGTGAGGGCCCATATCATCATTACCAGCAATAAGCAGTCCAACACCATAGGGTCTCTGGCCATACCTTTGTGTTGGTATCTGGGTCTTGCTTCCAATTAGAGATACAAGACGAGACACAGGAAGAGGTCTGTCAAATACAAATCTGGAATCCAAACAATCCTGGCGCATAAAATTACATAACAGTCTAGCATCAGCAGTAAGTCCCACAATTGAGATACCAATATGGTTATCAACATGAAGACTTTTCTTCTGATGAGCTGCAAGCTCTGACTGTGCTCTCTTCAATGCAACCAACACTGCATGGGTTTTTGATTTCAGACCAACTGTGGCTGAACCTTGTTTGACAGCTTCCATTGCATATTCAATTTGATGAATCCTGCCCTGAGGGCTCCAAACAGTGACGTCATTGTCATACTGGTTGCGAAACCTGGTTCTGGGTCCCCGCTGTGGCCTCCGGCCTGTAATTTTTTTTTTTTTAAAGATTGGGCACTTGTGAAAACAGTCACCTGTCTCAGTCTTTGCAGACTGGCTCTATTCTGGGGCAGTCCTTTTCTAATTTTCTAAGCTAGAGGGGCTCAGAGCCTAGGGATAAGCAAAATATAAAAATTTAAGGTCTTTTCATTTCTTTTCAGAAGTCTGTCTTGGCCAGGACTGATCATGGCCTTTTCAATTCCCTTAAATATGTGGCTGCTTCTGAATGTCCAAGTCTTTCAAAGAATCTCGCTCAGCGTCTCCTTTGGGCTTTTTATGGTCTATTATATGTCCTACTCAAAATCTTTTGCTCATGAGTTGGTAGTCCCCTTGCAGCTTTCATGAGTAGCAGCTACCTCTTCTTGCTGCATGAACTCCAAATAAGGGGGGATAGATCAGTCCTTCAGGCAGCCCCCACATAGGTTCAAATGTTCAAATATGGTCTGTTCTGCTTGTTTGGTTTACGGAAGGGAATTGGGAATTGGGCTGCCACTCTGTCTAGACCAAAACCTCACCACACTGGGGAAGGGGTGGAGCAAAGGCAAGTAAACACGAAATAAAATTTCCTACTGTTTTTAATATGTATTTTTTAATTGTACATTTGCCTGGTCGCTATAGACCTTTGACTACTTTCCATGGCTCATATAAGGTTATTATAGTTGTTAGTTTCTGGATTTTTTTAAATGTTTCCATGGGAGAGTGAGGACTTGGAGCTTCCTAGTCCACCTCTTTTTTCTACAAATATTGTTGAGCTTTGTTTTGTAATTCATTAAGTTACTTGGAACAGTTTGATGCTTTCAGGTGTTCCTTATAAACTTTATTAGGCAGATCCTACCAACGTTTAGTCCAAGATTAATTTTTACCTACTGTTGAGTCAAGGCCTTGTTTATACTCCATCCAATGTCCCATTTATTTTGATGTTTTCTACTCTCTGTTGGAATAAATACTTTTTCTACCTCTGTGTGATCTCTGGGTATTATGCTTTTATATCTTAAGAATTTTTAAAAAGTCCTATCTCAGGTACTTTTCTTACATGCATATACTGACTAGTCCCTTGTGAACACTTGAGGGAGACCTTCTTCAGATCTTAAGAGTTCTCTCTCTGTCCAGCACTTTCTTTTCAGATACGATGCCATGGCCATCTCTAACTCCCACCTCCATCTCCTCAACTCATAGACTGTCAAGTTCTACTTGGGTTCCTCCTTACTATACCACAACCTGGGAACTTTGTCCAGGCCATAAGCTGACACAACTGTAGAGCTCACCTCATTGATTTCCTGTCTCTCAGTGATCTCTATCATTTGTTGCTTGATGTCTAATGTCTTAAGAGTTATTGTATATTTTGTCTAGTTCTGTAGTTGCTATAGATAGTAGGGTAAATGTGGGCCCTGTTACTCCATCCTGACCAAAAGTGAGAGTCTCGACAGAGTTGTAAAGTTTTCTTTCTATGGTTCTTGCTTTATTTTAATTAGGGCTTATTCCTATGTTTTATTTTATTTTTGCTATTAGAAATAAGTGCTATTCAGTTCTATTTACTAACTTCATAAACAGGATTAAAAATTTCAGTTTATTTCCTTTGGCTTCTGTTATCTGAACACAATTTGTATATCTTTCAGTCTAATTTTTATTCCTCTTTTTTCCTTGTCTAATTATGTTGGCTTGCTCAGAGTTGTCCTCCTCCTACTTTATTTTTTTTAAAAAATATTTTATCTAGTTATTCATGAGAGACAGAGAGAGAGAGAGAGAGAGGCAGAGACATAGGCAGAGGGAGAAGCAGGCTCCCTGTGGGGAGCCCCATGCAGGACTGGATCCTAGAACTGTGGGATCACGCCCTGAGCTGAAGGCAGATGCTCAACTGCTGAGCCATCCAGGTGTCCCGACCTGCTCCTACTTTAATGAGAAGGTAAATGTTGATGATTTTTGCAAGAAGATTTTTAAAGATTGTTAAAGAAGATGTGATATATATGTATATCTTTTTCTTTATAGATACTATGCATACAATATTTAATATTACTCAGACATAAGAAAGGAATGAAATCTTGCCAACTACAGTGACATTGATGGAGCTAGAGGGTATTATCCTATGCAAAATTAGTCAGTCAGAGAAAGACAAATACCATATGATTTCACTGATACATGGAACTTAAGAAACAAAACAAACATAATAGGGGAAAAAGGAGTGAGAGGCAAACCAAGAAACAGATTCTTAACTACAGACATCAAACAGATGGTTACTAGAGGGGAGGTGGATGAGAAGATGAGTTAAAAAGATGATGGGGAATAAGGAGTGTGCTTGTGGTGAGCACTAGGTGTTGTATGTAAGTGCTGAATCACTAAATTGTACACCTGAAACTAATATTACACTGTATATTTACTAACTAGAATTTAAATAAAAACTTTAAAAATTAAAAAAATTGCGTGTGTGTATGCGTGTGTGTTGAGAATGTGAGTGTATAATCATGTTAAGGATTCTATTTTATATACAATTTTTATAAAGAATTGTTGTTGAATCCGCTTCAGATAATGATGGAGTAACCGAACTACATTTTGCCTCCAGTTGTAAGGAAGTACAAAATGAGACCAAATACATGCACAAGTTGTGTGGACAGTAGGCACAGTGGACTTTGATCTTTTAGACAGGAGAAACACACGAGTAAAGCTTCAAAATTGCCCCAGCTTTCTGTCTGGAGGTACCCTGTGGACTATTGTAGAGAAAGGTGAGACCCAAACAGAGCACAGTTGTATTGCTATGCTCTGGAAGTAGAGCTAAGCATTTCTGGCTTTTTTTTTTTTTAAGATTTTATTGATTTATTCATGAGAGACAGAGAGAGAGAGCGAGAGAGGCAGAGACACAGGCAGAGGGAGAAGCAGGCTCCATGCAGGGAGCCTAACATGGGACTCGATCCAGGGTCTCCAGGATCAGGCCTTGGGCCGAAGGTGGCGCTAATCCACTGACCCACCCAGGGTGCCCCATTTCTGGCTTTTGAGCTTTTCTGTAGCTGTGCAGAAAAGGAGAACTGGGAAGATGTACAATGTGCCCTTTAAGTTTCTGGTTGAATGATAATTTGCACATGTACAGAACAAGATTCTGTACAATCTAGTTAAGGACAGCTGCTAGAGAGCTGTGAGCTGAATTGAATTTCAGGAGGTTTCACAGTTGTGTTAGACATAGGAGTCCAGTGGACCAAGATGGAGAGAACTCACTGAACATCATAGACACTCAATTGTCCTTCCAGAAAGGCCACTCTGTAGGATAGGACTACTCTAGACCTAGATAAGGGCCACTCTAGTCCCATCCTAACAAAGGTTAGAACAGCTTTTGAAAAAAAGAGTTATTGATCTGCTAGTAAATTAACTGTATGCCAGAACAAACCTCAATATTCTCTAAATGTGAAGCTGAGGTACAGAAGTTACAAGATTAGCCCTGAGCATCTTCATGTGGATAAGTTGAGCATAGAAGTGCTCAAAGAATCATGAAGACATATCACAAGGGCACAGCGGCCAACTTAAAGAGGCTGCCACTGGACAATTGTGGGACAATTTGAGCATCAAAATAGTGGTAATAATAAATTATAACATATTGAATGAAATAAGAATTAGTTCTTACTGATATAAATATGAGAGGGAGGAAAGTTCCTTACAGAAGATTGTCAACTTATAAATATAGAAGGAATGATAATGTTAGAAAGTCTATAATGATTGCCACAACTAGTATGTGAAAGTTTGAGGAAGAAAAGAATATTTTCATAGATTCAGAGTATGTTCTCACTAGTTAAGGCACCACCTTAACCAAACCAATCATTATCAGTATTGGGACAAATAAAATCATATGCCCCCTGATATAATGCACTAAGAAGAACACAGTATCACTTCTGTTGTAGAACGGTCAAGAGTGCAAAACTTGAAACACTGGACAAATGGAGGGACAGTCTTCCAAATAACTGTATTCTTCCAACAATAAGAGACAAGACAACTGAATGTAATGCATGAGGGAAAAGGCAGCTATAAAGGACATTAGAGGAGTAACACTGTCAGTTTTACTCTTTAGAAATGACTTTATTTGCTTTTTTGGGGGAAAGATTTTAGGGGAGCAAGCATAGAACAAGGATCATTAAGATACCATTGTCTAGCTCCAGACTATTAGGTTGCTCTACGTAGTTCAAGCTGGACATGTTGGATTTTAGATGGGCTTTTTAGCAGTAGACTTGGTAAGAAGTTGTGTATTTTGGAGACACATCTACTGGTGGATTGAATGTTGGGTGTGAAGGTAAAAATATAGATTTAAGGAGGAGCCTGGGTGGCTCAGTTGGTTAAGTGTCCAACTCTTGGTTTCGGCTCAGTCATGATCTTATGGGTTCTGAGAAAGACCCATAGCAGGAAGTCTTCTTGGGGATTCTTTCCCTCTGCCCCTCCCCCCACTGCGTGCACTCTTTCTCTCTCTTTCTCTCCCCCCCTCAAAATAAATAAGTCTTTAAAAAATAATTAAGGAAAATCTCTAGGTTATTATTGGCTTGGGGAATTGGATGGGTGGTGCTATTTAATGATAAGGTAAAGGCTTGGGGACTATGGATTTTGGGGAATGCGGGATGAATATTCACATTTGGCTCTATTATGTTGGAGGTGTGTATTACTCATTTAAGCAGAAATGTCATATGAGGAGTTGGATTTACAGGCCTAGAAGTCAGGATGTAGATCTCACCTAGAAATATAAAGTAAAAATCACTATCTAGACATAGTTGAAGTTATGTTACGTGGCCAGATAAAATCTTGGAGAGAGTATAACCAGAAAAGAACAGAATTAAGCAGGCTAAACAGAGATCTGGTAGAGGAAGAAGGGCCAGCAAAGGAAATCAGAAGGAACAGACAGTGGGTTTGAGGAAAAAAGGGAGTGTGTTTAGTCATTGAATTGGAGTTCATAATAGCCAAAGAAAGGAAACAATCAATCAAATCAATCAAATGGACAAATAAAGTATGCCATATCCATGAGGTGAAATATTATTTAGCAAATAGGGGATCCCTGGGTGGCTCAGCCTTTGGCCCAGGGCATGATCCTGGAGTCCCGGGATCAAGTCCCACAAGGCTCCCTGCATGGAGCCTGCTTCTCCCTCTGCCTGTGTCTCTGCCTCTCCATCTCTCTGTGTCTCTCATGAATAAATAAAATCTTTTTAAAAAAGAAATTATTTAGCAAATAAAGTACTGACTGATATATGCTACAATGTAGGCGAACTGTAAAAAACGTGCTAAGTGAAGAAGCCAGTCACAAAAGACCACATATTGTATTTTTACAATACATTTCACAACATAGTACTCCATTTATATGAAATGCCCAGGGAAGGCAAATATAGACAGATATTATGTTAATTTTTCAGGCCTTTGGGCAGTGAGGGGAAGTAAGAGGTGAGGATGGGATATGCTAATGGTTATAAAGTTTCTTACTGGAGGGACAGCTGGGTGGTTCAGCTGTTGGGTTCTGCCTTTGGCTCAGGGTGTGATCCTGGAGTCTCAGGATCAAGTCCCGCATCAGGCTCC